GAACAGACTCAGGCCTTGCTCTCAAGGCCCTAATCTGGCAGAGAGCAAGATGGAAGAATTCTAGATCTTGAAGTAGAAGAGACCGACCACATGAGGGCATCTGATCCCTATTTAATTTAATTTAATGTATTTATTTATTTTTTAATTTTTTTTTTTTTTTTTTTTGAGACGGAGTCTCACTCTGTCACCAGGCTGGAGTGAAGTGGCATGATCTCAGCTTGCTGCAACCTCCATTTCCTGGTTCAAGCAATTCTTCTGCCTTAGCCTCCCAAGTAGCTGGGATTACAGGCACACACCACCGTGCTGGGCTAATTTTTTGTATTTTTAGTAGAGACAGAGCTTTATCGTGTTAACCAGGATGGTCTCGATCTCCTGATCTTGTGATCCACCTGCCTCAGCCTCCTAAAGTGCTGGGATTACAGGCATGAGCCACTAGGCCCAGCCTGATCCCTATTTTAAAAGGTAATGGAGTCCCAGAAGCACAAGTGAATCTGGTGAATCACTGGCCAAAGTGGGGAGAGAACCCAGGACTTCTGATTTCTGTCTAAGGCTGCTTATCTCACAGAGATTATGTAATCCAATGGGGCTGGGCCCAGAAAAGTCTCCCTTGCCTTAATCTGTCCAGGCAGAGCTATGCCCTCTCCTTCCCAGCACCCTCTGTTCTTCCTTAAGTCAGGCCAGTCCTCAGGGCCTCAAACCAAGGAAGCTTCAAACAGCTCCCCTTCCCCGTCCACTGGGATCCCAGCAGGTTGCCTTGGTAACCAGAGCCCAGCCAAGTTTGAGAACCTAAAGCTACAAGGGGAAAGAAAGGATAAGAAGAGGGATGGATGCTAGGCCCACACAGTTAACATTCATTCATTCATTCATTTATTCATTCTTTCTTTCTTTCAAAGAAACTTGCTGGTCGGACATGGTGGCTCATGCCTGTAATCCCAGCACTTTGGAAGGATGAGGCAAGTGGATCACTTGAGGTCAGGAGTTTGAGACCAGCCTGGCTAACATGGTGAAACCCCATCTCTACTAAAAATACAAAAATTGGGTGTGGTGGCACACGCCTATAATCCCAGCTACTCAGGAGGCTGAGGTGGGAGAATCCTAAGGCTTGAACCCAGGAGGCGGAGGTTGCAGTGAGCCAAGATGGCGCCACTGCACTCCAGCCTGGGTGATACAGTAAGATTCTCAAATAAAAGGAATTTACTGAAGTTGATACTTGCCAGGCCCCGGGGCCCAGAGAAGAAGATCCCGGCTCTTCAGAATTGAGCTGTTGGCTGGGCACAGTGACTCATGACTGTAATCCCAGCACTTTGGGAGGTGGAGGCAGGAGTACTGCTTGGGCTCAGGAGTTTGAGACCAGCTGGGCAACATAGGGAGACCGCCCCCCACCCCCGTCTCTACAAAAAAAAAAAATTAGCGGGGCATGCTAGTGCATGCCTGTGGTCCCAGCTACTCCGGAGACAGAAGTGGGAGAATCACATGATGGCGCCACTGTCTTCCAGCCTGGGCAACAGAGTGAAATTCTGTTCAAGCTGGGCACCATGGCTCACACCTGTAATCCCAAAACTTTCGGTGGCCAAGGCGGGCTGATCATCTGAGGTCAGGTGTTCAAGACCAGCCTGGCCAACATGGTGAAAACCTGTCTCTACCAAAAATACAAAACTTAGCCAGGTGTGGTGGCGGGCGCCTGTAATTCCAGCTACTTGGGAGGCTGAAACAAGAGAATTGCTTGGTCCCAGGAGGCAGAGGTTGCAGTAAGCTGAGATTGTGCCACTGCACTCCAGCCTGGATGACAAGAGCAAAACTCTGTCTCAAAAAAAAAGAAAAAAAGAAACCTTGTTAAAAAAAACTAACAATAACAACCACCGAACAAAACAGAAGTAAGCTGTCTTATATGGTAGCCACAAATTAAAATAAAGTTAAAAATCCAGTGCCTTGGTCACTATAGCCACATTTTAAGTGATCGGTAGCCATCTGTGCCTAGCGGCTACTGTATTGGACAGCACAGACATAGAACATTTCCATTATCGCTGAAAGACATAGAACATTTCCATTATCTACAGCGCAGCTCAAGAAACTCACTCGCTAAAGAGAGAGATGCACAGGAGAGCAGACCAGACAACCAGTGTTGTGTGGGCTGCAATGTCCTCCTCGGCAAAAAGCAGGTGAAGAGGCGGAGATGAAAGGAGATGCCAGGAGAATGCTTAGCCTAGTTCCTGACTCAGGGTGCGTGCTCACAGGATGTCTACCATCACTGTAGAGGATAGTACTATAGGATCTGTTTACATACCCATCTTCCTAGCAGACCGTGAGCTCTGCCCAGCCCTGGCATGGTGCTGGGCACAGAGCAAGTGCTCAGGAAATGGTAGCTGTTATCAACACCATGATTATTATCACCAATGCTATGACAGAAGCAGCCAGGGGCTGTGGGAACACAGAAGAGGGCTCCCATCCATCAGCAGGCAGGTGCTGCTAAGAGTCTGCATTGCCAGAGCCAGGCTGGGTGGCTTTGTGGTCCCCTCAGGAGTGGACCCCTTTAGGAGTCCCCTTCACACCCTTAGGGGCTGGGTACAGGGTCTGGCTGGAGCAAGCTGGGGCTCAGGGAATAGTTGTTGAAGGAGCTCTAGCCTCCAGGAACTCTAGCCCACTTGAGGAAAGACCAGGTGAGTGGGCAAGATGGCCTGAGGGTTGCAGAGCTGAACAGGGCATGAACGGCACAGAGGGAGAGCCAGAGGGAGAGCCAGAGAGAGATTGGTGCTGGGACCACCAGAGTGCAGCCATATTTGGAGTACCCCTGTTTTTACTGCAGACTCACGCCCCAGGCATCAGAGTCTGTGGGAGGCAGAGCAAATTTGGGGAGGGCAGGCTGCAGAGAACCACCCCACAGGTGGCTTTGAGTGCCAGCCTGGCTGTTACCAGCCTCCCATGGCTCTTCAGGATTCCAGAGGCTCAGAGCAGCCATTCATAGCCGCCCACTCCTAGGAAGCCAGCCCCTCCCTATGCCAGAGCCCAGCTCAGCCCAGTCTCCGGGGATGTAGCTGGTGGGACAGTCAGCAGAGGGCTGGGCCCTGTGTCTGGGCACTGTGGCCTGGAGGCTGAGCAGGACCTGAGGAGAGGACCAGAGGGACAAGGCCCCTAAGCCGGCCACCATGGCCAGTCTCTGGGTGCAAGGGAGGTGAGGAGCCTGCATGGGCCTCAGCTTCCTAGACCCACTGGATCCTTCTTGTTCTCTGATCAAGGTAGGTGTTTGTGTGGGGGGGATGGGGGGAACAGGACAAGGCAATCCATGAAAAATGGGAGTGCAGTGAGGGGATGGGGGTTGTGTGACACCCGCGGACACCCTGTCCTCTGGCCTGCTCTCTGTGTGTGGGTGTGCACGCTGAGGGGAGCTGTTTGTGGCTAAGTGCAGGGCAAACATGCGTGCCCACATGTATTTGGTTGTGCAGGAGTGCACAGGGCTGCAGGGATATGCCAGGTGGGAAAGGGCTGGTGGCCAGGACAGTCTTGGGTACAAATGTATAGCTGGAGAGGGATGAGGAGCTGGGGGCACCATGGTGAGGGGTGATGCCTTCCCCGTACAGTGTCCTGCCTTCCCTATCCCTGCTCCAGACCTCAAGGACCTGGCTATGCGATCACTCCCCTCCCCATGAGCCCTCTGGAACTGGCTCCTCCCACCAGCCCTGGCCTTGCCCCCCAAGCTGCAGGTACCAGCCTGCTGTGTTAAAAAAAAAAAACAAAAAAAAAACAAGTTTGTTCCAGAGGGTGAGTTACATGGAGTGCAGAGTGGCAGGGAGGAGTGGCCCATCTAAGATCACAGCCAGAATCCTGAGCTCCATCATCAACACCCCCTTGTGCCCATTCCCTACCCCAGGCAGTCTTGCCACTTCTACTCCTGTGAAATGCAGCCTCCTCCAGCCCTAGCCCTAGCCCTGCCCCTTCCACAGCCCATGAAGCAGAGAGTTTCAACTATGTCCTCATGAGATCCTTGCTTCAATTCTGCTCCCCTCTGGTCGTTCTGTCACACTGCTCCTGAGTGGCCATTCCCTCCTGCAGATCTGGATGGGTCACCTTCCCTGGCCTGAGAATTGCTGTAGCCCGGCCTGGACCCCAGCTCACCTGCAGCCTTTGTGCTCCCTTCCCCGCTAGATACAGCCTAGGAGCCCCATGTTGGAGTTTCAGAAAGATGCCACACTTTCTCATCTTCGGGCCTTCTGTAGGAATAGCCCTGGCTCAGGTCTAGCCTCCTGCCTTCCTACCCATAATGCTTAGCTTGGCGGAGGCCTATCTACTTCCTTGCCTGGCATCCCTGGAGGTGGCAGGCTCTCCAAGGGCAGGGACTGTGGCTTGTTCACCGGATAAGCCTCCTGTGAACACTCACTGCTTCTCCATTTCCGAAGCCTCACCTTCTCCAGGGCTGGCTCTGTTTCCAACTCTAGCACTAGGTCAGCTCAGGGCTCTTTCTTGGTTCTGCGCCTCCACGCCAAATTGATCCTCTCTCATCCCAGACACCTGAGCTCCTAGCGCCAATGCTGGCTGCTGTGGGTGGGAATCCACGGCCCTTTGGTTCTTTCCGGAGGAGAAAGGCAGAGCGGCCTCCAGTAACCACTGCCCTCCTCTGGAGTCCCTGAACATGTATGTGGCCTCCACAGAGCTGTCCACAGAGACAGGGGCCATACTCAGGCCCAGGCAAAGGGAGATGTAAGCCTGGCCTGAGTTCCCCCATGCTGGAGGCAGCCTGCTCACTGGATGTGCCCACCCCGCTGTGTGGTGGCTGGCCAGGGATACGGTGGGTATGAGGTGCAGGTCAGTCTGCTGCAGGTAGGAGCTGTAGGAGGGCTGGAGGAAGTTACATGTGTCCTCCACTAAGGACTGGATGGTCCTCAGAACCAGGCCCCTTTAGACCAGGCAATGTTCAGCTGCTGGTCAGGAAGGGGAGGGCTGAGAGCTCCAGGCCTGAGCTCCTCATCCCTGCCTGGCCCCTTCTCTCTGTTGATTGCCTCAGGGAAAGACAAACGGCCTGGATGGACCACGACTTTGCTCCTGCTCCTCCAGAGATGCAGTCGCACGGAGCTCCAGGCCCAAGAACCTCTTTCTCCCATAGCCATGTGCTGGGGCGCCCTACCCGCCCCTCAAGACTCCCTGGAGGGGGATCCCCGCTCACCCCTGTCCTCAGGAAGACCATCCATCTGGACACCTTCCCCCAAAGCCATATCCCACACACCTCCAGCCGGCCGGGCCTTGGAACCAGGACCCAGAGCGTACCCCCACAGGAGATGGTCATTGCTCTGGGGGCTTCCTCGAGCCCCCTGCCCACCAGCAGCCTTGTACCTAGGAAGCTCAGCTCCATCTCCTTGACGATCCGTCAGAACAGCCAGGCACGGTCCCTGGATCACCCACTTTCTCACTGGGAAGGGTCGCCTACCCCGGGAAGGAAGGCTGCTCCCCATGAAGGAGGTAGGCTGTCCTTGCCAGGCTCACCACCTGTGACCCTAGTGCCAGGGGGCAGGGTCCATTCCGAGGGCCCAGAGAACCCAGGTCTGACCAAATCTAGCAGGATACCTGCCCTGGAGAAGCCCCTGGTGAGTTCCTATCTGGCTTTACCTTTCCAATCCCGGTTAGCCCAGAGCACACCAGTCCTGGGAGAGCCAGGCTTGGTGGGCCAGGGGCACCTTGCCTCAGCGACTGCCCACACGCCTACCAGAGCTTCTCCAGGAAAAGGCAAGCCCCGAGCCAGGGGGATCCCCAGACCCCGGGGGCGTCTCCAAAGGGCCACTGAGGCTGTGAATTTGACTGCTGTGGACACAAAGACAGACGCAGCCAGTCATTTAGCCACAGTGGCCACCAACAGACCTAGCTTGGCTATCAGTTTAGCCACACCAAACACATCCAGATTGGACACAGGCACAGAGTTCCCTGCTCTGGATATCAAGCTGGGCACAGCCAGAGACTTGTCTTCGGGAGGGATAGTCAAGTCAGGCAAAGCCACGAACTTTGCTACAGCAGGCACAATCAAGCCGGGCACGGCCATGAATCTGACTACAGTATGGACAACCAAGCCAGGCATGGTCATGGATTTGATAGCCTCAGACCCAGACAAGCTGGGCAAAGCCATGGCTACAAGAAGCACAGACAAGCCAGATATGACCACAGAGGGCACAGCCATGGATTCGGCAACATCAGACCCACTCAAGCTGGACACAATCACAGCGACAGTGGGCACCACCAGGTTGGAAACAGCCATGGCTTTGGCCAGAGCAAACAGAACCAAGCTGGACTTGGCTATGAATTATCTTGCTTTGGACCCAAGCAGGAAGGGCACAGCTGTGGGTTTGGTTATGCCAGTAACCCCAGACCCAGCCACTGGGAAGAACACACTGGGCAGTGTTAATAACCTGACCATATCAGACGTTGCCACACGCCTGGTGATGCCAAGCAGATGCACAGACCCAGCCCTGGACCACACTAATGCTTCCACGGATGGAGCCACAGAGCCTGCCACACTGGACCTGGCCACAGAATCTAAAGGTAAATGCAGAAATTTGGTTGGGGATGGACTAGGCTGCGGGCGGGGGTGGAGGTGTATGAGCTTGGAGATGGATCTTGCTTGCATGAGTTGGGAAAGGGAGAAAGGACTCTAAGGTCAGAGTTGAATGGGTTGGGAGAAAAGGAAATAAGGTTTTAGGGCTGGACGTGGGGCTGTACTCTGAGCTGGGTTCTAACCTGCCAGTCTGAGGTCAGGCTGAGGGAAAGTATCAGAAGGTTTTGGCCAGGTGTGGTGGCTCATGCCTGTAATCCCAGCATTTTAGGAGGCTGAGATGGGAGGACTGCTTGAGCGCGGGAGTTCAAGACGAACTTGGGCAACGTGGTGAGACTGTCTCTACAAAAAATAAAAAATAAGGGCCAGGGGCAGTGGCTCATGCCTGTAATCCTAGCACTTTGGGAGGCCAAGGCAGGTGGGTCACTTGAGGTCAGGAGTTCAAGACCAGCCTGGCCAACATGCTGATACCCCGTCTCTACTAAAAATACAAAAATTAGTCAGGCGTGGTGGCGCATGCCTGTAGTTCCAGCTACTTGGGAGACTGAGGCACAAGAAGCGCTTGAACCTGGGAGGCAGAGGCTGCAGTGAGCCTAGATCATGCTACTGCACTCCAGCCTAGGTGACAGAGTGAGACTCAGTCTCAAAAAATAAGATAAAATAAAATAAAAAATTAGCAGGGCATGGTGGCATGCATTTGTAGTCCCAGCTACTGGGGAGGCTGAGGTGGGAGAAATGCTTGAACCCAGGAAGTGGTGGTCACAGTGAGCCAAGATCAAGCCACTGCACTCCAGCCTGGGTGACAGAGCAAGACCCTGTCTCAAAAAAAAAAAAAAAAAAAGGGTAAACAAAAAGAGAGAGAGAGAAAGAAAGGTTTACAGGGATAACTTGCGGAGGAGCAATTGGTGAATCCTCCTGTTAGCATCTCCTGGAGTTGTTTCTTTGGTCCCTGAAGAGCTGGAATAATCAGGTGATCAGTAGGTGAGTCCGGCTTTAAAAGCAAGCCTTCAGCCAGGTGAAGAGGCTCACGCCTGTAATCCCAGCACTTAGGGAAGCCTAGGCGGGTGGATCATGAGGTCAGGAGTTCAAGATCAGCCCCGCCAAGATGGTGAAACCCCGTCTCTACTAAAAATACAAAAAATTAGCCTAGCGTGGTGGCAGGCACCTGTAATTCCAGCTACTCCGGAGGCAGGGGCAGAGAATTGCTTGAACCTGGGAGGCAGAGGTTGTAGTGAGCCAAGATTGTGCCACTGCACTCCAGCCTGGGCAACAGAGCAAAACTCCGTCTCCAAAAAAAAAGCAGCAAACCTCCTATGTGAAAATACTGACTAGCACTTTAGGAAGTGGTGATTTGTCTAATAATAGTCCCTGCAGCCTCCTCTGGATGTGAGATAATGACCTCACCTGAGACTTTCCAAATCCGTTTACACTCAGCCTTTTAGGAAGGTATCTGTTGCTTAAAACGTGCCTTACCTGGATGTCTCTTTCTTGGTCCCCCACCCCCAGCCCTTTAATCCTGAAAGGTAAGTCGGAGCCTTGTACATGTGGAAGTCCTACACAGAACACTAAACAGGCCAACACAAGGGCTGAGACATTCATTGGTCTTGGAAAGCCTGTGACATGCCTAAAGTCACATCAAAGCTGGCTGGTGGCAGTAAGCTGATTGGAATCCAGATTGTTGGAATTTCTACTTTGGGCAGCCTCATTCCCAGCATTTCAAGGGCTCAGAGTTTCTAGGTCTGGAAAGGTGCCTGGAAGGCATCCAGTCTTACACCAGAATTGAGGCTTTAGATTGTTAGACCCCTTTCCCTTCATCCCGCACACTCAGTCTGGGCACCTCACCTAAGCTCTAGTCTTCACTTCTCCCTACGAGACCTCAGCTCTCCCTCCATCTGCAGCCCAGCCCTGTCTCAAGTGCCAATGTGGGCAGCTAGGAGCCTGCTAGGTTTATCTATCCGGCTGTCTTGAGGGCATGTCCAGAGGTAGCCCTTTTCTTCTTGAACTGACTCCTGCCTCCCTGATCTCACTCTCCCAGCGATAGGCATCACCTACCTTCTATCCAGTGCCTACAAACCCGGGTATCCTCTTTTTCCTCATCTCTCTCGCCATCTCATCCAGTCTACTTCCCACCTTGTTGATTTACCTCCTCAGTACTCAAGTACCTGGCTGGCTGTCCCCTCTTCTCCATCCTTCTGCCCCTGGGAGGCCACCCTCCACCCACCGGCTCCACCCCTGTGCACACACAACTGCTGCAAGGACTCACATGCTGAATGGCAGCACTTTCAGCTTAATATTCGTCAGTGACTCACCATTACCTTCTCTTAAAAGTCCAGCTTCCAAGGCTGCATGCGGACTTCTCCAGCCTCTTATTTAGCTCTACATACCTGTCTGGAATTTTCTCTGCTTCAGCCACATCAAAGGCTGTGGGCTGTCCACCAGCACCACGCAGCTCTCACCCCTGGGCCACCTTACCTCTGCTGTCCTCTCTTTGCAGAATGCCTCTCCTTCTCACCTTCTTCCCTCCCACTCCCATTTGCCTTTCCATCCGGCCCTCACCTCCTCCAAGAAGTCTTCCAAGCCCCCTCTCCCCAGGGTGCCCATCTGCCTGCACCCTCATTCCCCTGCGTGAACCCCAGCCACTGCATTAGGACTTTGCAGCTTCCTGTTTCCTCTACTAGACCCAGAACCTTCGAGGGCAGGGATGGTTGTCCTCACCGCTGTGCTCCCAGGGCCTGGCAATATGCTGTCCATTAGTGTCCACTGAATGCATACAATTTTTTTCTAATGGGCAAATTGAGGCTCAGGCAAGTTCCTGGCTGGCTCAAGGCTATTGGTTCATCATCGCGGAGAAGGGCCTGGAACCCGGGCCCCTGACTCAGGGCTCTACAGGCGCCCGCGCAACACTCCACAGCCCCCGCGTGACTCACGCGCGCACACGGCCGCCCGCAGCTGCCACTGGTCCCCTGCGCCCCCCCGCCCCGCCCCACCGCAGCCTAGCGGGTAAGGGGCAGGGAGCGGACCCAGCGGGAGAGAAGGGACTGGGATGCGGGCACCTTTCCAGGCCGGGCACCTGGAGCCCGCGTGCGCGGCTCCTGGGCCGCCCGCAGCCTGGACCTGGGGCCCGTTCCCGCGTGCGGGAGGGGGAGGGGCCCTCGGCGGGGCCGGCGGGCGCGCGGTCACGTGGTGCGGGTGGCAGCGGCGGCGGCTGGCGGCGGCGGCAACCGTGCGCGCGGACAGGAGCGGCGCGGCGCCGAGCTAGCCGAGGCGAGGTCCCGGGCGGGCGCGGCGGCGCGGGGCGCAGGGGCGGCGCGGCGGGGCCGCGGGCCGGGCGGGTGGGCGGAGAGCGCGGAGGGGCGAGGCCCGGCTGCAGGGGCCGCTCGGCCCTGGGGAGCCCGCGCCCCGCTCAGCCTTGCAGCCCCGCGCCGGGAGCATCTCCTTGGAGGAACGGAGACAAAGGAGGATTCATGTCCAAAGGTAGGGCGGCCGGCAAGGCCACCGGCACCAGCCAGGAGTGGGCTGCGGCTAGGGCCAGTGCGGCCGGAGGCGCTCCCGGGGGAGGGTTTCCGCGCCGAGGATCCCACGCGTGGTGACAGATGCACGGACACACGCACACACGGTGGCACCCACCTCGAGAGAGACAGTCTCGGAGAGAACAGACACAGGACGCGGGGGGACGCGGGGAGACGCAGGGACCCACGGACACGCAAGCAGGGACCCAGATGCGCACAGAAAGCCCCACGCTGGAGTACACCAGGACACGCACACATACAGGCCACGCACAGGTGCCAGGGCCATGCCAGCCGGATGAGAGACCTGTGCACTGACACATACGTCCCCTCCCTCCCAGCCCCCACAGGCACACGCTGAGACAGGCACCAGCTGGTGGTCTCCAAGGGAACCCATTGGCCTCCAGAGGACTGGGATGGGGGAAGGGGTGTCCCAGGGCCCTCTGCTCCTGCCAATGGGAAAGGACCCAGGGAGCTTTCGTGATTCCTTTTCCCAGAGCCCAGGGCTGGAGCTGGGGTGGGCTGGAATTGCCTCTGTGGGAGGCGGTGGGATCTTGAAGGCTGCTGGGGGCTGAGGAAGATCCGCCTTCAGGGCAGAAGGAAGAAGGGGGCCTGCACTAAGCAGGTGGTATTTTGGAAAGGTCCCTTCCCCCAGCTACCACCTTCCGAACAGAGGGGTGGGGTCCCCGAGCCAGACAAAGCCAAAGCCATTCATTTGCTTGTAAAAGGAAGTGCCAGGGTCTTTGGTTAGCATGGGAATGGAGGGGCTGTTTCTGTGGGGGCTTGGCCACCCTAAGTCAGGTGGATGGTGCCTCTCCCTGGAGCACTGATGGGGCAGGTAGCTTCTGGCAGAGGGTGCCGGAGGCAGTTCCCCCTTCTCCAGGGGCCCTGGGAGAGCCAGGAGCTGAGGGGGGCCCCAAGGACCCTCTAGACAGGATGGCAGATTTGAGCTGCACTCTGCTGTGACCCCAACCTCAGCCTTTCCCCACCCTTGGGGAGCCCCCTCCAATCCTTGTTGCGGAGGAAGGAGGAGATCTCAACAATTCTACCCCCTTGACTGTGGCGGAGACAACAGCCATTGCTCTCTGGGGGTCAGCTGCTCTGCATGAGGAGAAGCATCTGAGGGAAGAGAAAGGTGAGGTGCTCTGCATGGGAAGAAGTATCCGAGGGAAGAGAAAGGCAGGTCTCTGATACCTGCCTCACGCTGTAGCTCTCATTCACTCATTCATTCATTCATAATCTGAATGAATGAATGAATGAATGAGTGGTATGCTAGATAGACTGGGGCACAGAGATCAATAAGACATGGCCCTGCCCTAAAGAAGGGTGAGAACTAGCACGTAGTTGTGCCAGATAGCTCGCATCCTTGCTTCTATATAACCTTCACAGCAACCCTGCAAGGTAGGTTCTATCCCCACTTTTCTCAGCAGAAAAATGAGCCTTACAAGGGTTACCTGCCCATCTGAGGTGTACATGATGGTACCAGGAGCTGTAGGGGCAGAGGATGGAGCTACAGAATCTAGCTCCAGAGCAGCATTTGTTGTGTGCCCCCAAAGGTCTTTGTTTATTTGTCAGGCATTCTTACCAGACGGTGGGCCCTCGAGGGCGGCAATCTTGTCTAGGGTACATAAGTGTCCTTGGCATTTAGCCTAGGGTTTGGCTGGTGTAGGCCCCCATTTGACAGCATATGAAATGGCCTGGATGGGATGGAATCAATCAATGAGTAAATGTGGAGTAACAGAATACCTGCAGTGGGCATAGAAAAGGGCCATCCACATCAGATAGCAAAGCAAAGGCTTTCCTGGGAGTAGCACTGGAGCTGAATGCCGGAGGAGGAGGAATGAGCCAGGGGTTGGAGGGGGGAATGGGATCTTCCAGCAAAGCTTGTGGCACAGTGACCTGCAAACATGTGCTGTACTTGTGGCTGATGGGTGGCTTGTTAGCCCATGACTGGCATGTCATTGGCATGTGGTGGGGGGTGGCTTGTTAGCCCATGACTGGCATGTCATTGGCATGTGGTGGGGAGGCTGACTTGCCAGCAGGTGCCCTGTAGAGTGCACACAATGGGTGCTTATAGATGCTTGCTGGAGGAATGAAAGTGAGATCTACCAGGTCCTGGTCCTGCAGCCAGCCTGCAGTAGCCCCTAGAAACTGCTTGGGACTCTGGTAGGACCTTCTCTCAATCAGGATCTGTCTTTTGGGTGTGCTGTTTTAGGATGCTGCAGTTGACAGGCCAGGGCTGAGCAGGCCATGGCGAGAACACACACTTTGTAAGAATCTTGACAGTACCTCTCATAAGTAAATACAATACTTACTTTCCAAGTCTGTAAAATGGGGATAAGACACCCCCCCGCAACCATGTGGCTCTATCTCATAACACAGGTTAAGACAAAATGGGCTCAGCTGCAGAGGCATGAGGGGCAATGGAAAGGCCCAGTCTGTTTGAGCAGCTGGGCAGGAAAAATGGGGCATTGGTCCCAGTGCAGGTGTGCTGAGTGGGGCCTGTGAGCCACGTGCAAGAGTGGAGGAGCAGGGCCAGGCTGCTGAGAGTCAGCTGCCGCAGGGCTGAGCCAATCTTGCTGCCGTCTGGAGCTGCCTGGCTGGCAACAGCTTCCTGGGAAGCAAGAGGGAGCCATGCCAAGTCCTGGGGGGGTCCTGAGGCTTTGGCAGGTTTGGCTGTGCCTGGGAATGACAGAAGAAAGAACAGTTTTCCATCGGGAGAGAGGGTCTTGCCAGTACCGGTGGAAGGACCAGGTGGAGGGTGATGAGAGCCGACTCCTGACTGGGTTTAGGGTTGGGAAGGGAACACTGCTGTCCTCTCTCTCTCCCGCCCATCTGCTGCTCCATCAGGCCTCCCTGTAAGGTTGAGACTCTGCAGGGTGTTAGTCATGAACCATAGGATTCTAGAACGGCAGAGCTGGAAGGTGTCCTCAAGAGTACATGGAGTCCAATAACCAGGGTTGTGTAACTAGCGCCTGGGGACACCTCCCTTTAACCAGTGCTTCCACATGCATTGTTTCATTTCCCCTACAGACCTGAAAGGGACAGGGGCAAAAGGGTCTGGGACTGTAAGATATTGCTCAGTGCTGAATTTTTTTTTTTTTTTTTTTTTTTTTAGAGACAGAGTTTTGCTCTTGTTTCCTAGGCTGGAGTGCAATGGCATGATCTCGGCTCACTGCAGCCTCCACCTCCCGGGTTCAAGTGATTCTCCTGCCTCAGCCTCCTAAGTAGCTGGGATTACAGCCAGCTATACCACACCCAGCTACTTTTTTGTATTTTTAGTAGAGATGGGTTTTCACCGTGTTGGCCAGGCTGGTCTTGAACTCCCGACCTCAGGAGATCCACTCACCTTGGCCTCTCAAAGTGCTGGGATTACAGGCGTGAGCCACCACACCCAGCCATTGGTCAGTGCTTCTAAGCATCACATCTCACAAATGCTCACCAGAGTCCTAGTGATGATTCTACCATTTTATGGAGGAGGTCGCAGGCTCTTAGTGGGGAGGTGGTCTTCCCAAGTCCACAAAGCTAAGAAGCAGCAGAGACAGGCTCTTTCCACTTCACCCCACACCCGCATTGTATAGATGGGGAAATGGAGGTGCTCTTTTCTAGAACCTACCCTGGTGGACAGTGGCCTGATAAGGAAATCCACAGATTTTTCCTGTGTGTGAACACACCCATGATCCACTAGACCCAGGGGGATGTTGACCTTCCCCACTGGGGAGGGGCTGGTTCCTCTGCCTTCCCTTTCATCTGCCATCTACCACTCCAAAAGTACACTGTGTCGTCTTAGGCAAGTGACCACCTCATCTGGTTCTCATCCCCTCCCTGCTGGTCCCACAGATTCAGAACAATAACTGGGAGGGTATCTGGGGCTCTTCCAGGTACAGACACCTCTACTCGGCAGTGGTGCTCATGGCACAGAGGGGACACCGAGACTAAGAGACAGGAGTGATGGTCATTCTTCAGAGAAGGGTAGACCTGCTTGCTGCTGCTGCTTTTTTTTTTTTTTGAAACAGAGTTTCACTCTTGTTGCCCAGGCTGGAGTGCAATGGCTCGATCTCGGCTCACTGCAACCTCTGCCTCCTGTGTTCAAGCGATTCACCTGCCTCGGCCTCCTGAGTCGCTGGGATTACAGGCACCTGCCACCACACCCAGCTAATTTTTATTATTTTTAGTAGAGACTGGATTTCACCATGTTGGCCAGGCTGATCTTGAACTCCTGGCCTCAGATGATCCACCCGCCTCAGCCTCCCAAAGTGCTGGGATTACAGGCGTGAGCCACCACACCTGGCCTCCCTGTTTGCTTCTGAAAGATAAAGCAGCCAAGGTCAGTGACAGTCAGTAGATGTTAGTGCAGGATTCTAAAAAGTCTTTGCCCTTTATTCAAGGAGGGAGGCACGACTCAGGTCCGAATAACCCCAGATACTTCTTAGACCAGTGGTTCTCAGGCAGGGCAATGGTGCCTCCCAGGGGACATTTGGTACTGTCTAGAGACATTTTGGGTTGTCACAAGCTGGGGGCTACTAAGGTCACGGATGACACTAATTATCCTGTAATGCACGTGTCAGCCTCCCATAATAAAGAATTACTCAAACGTCATTAGTGCCAAGATGGAGAAGCCCTTGGGCTAGACACAGGGATGTGGGCTTTGGAGCAATGAGGTGCATTTGAAAGTGCTCATCAGGCCAGGCGCGGTGGCTCACGCCTGTAATCCCTGCACTTTGAGAGGCTGAGGCGGGTAGATCACCTGAGGTCAGGAGTTGAGAGCAACCTGGCCAACATGGTGAAACCGTGTCTCTACTAAAAATACAAAAAATTAGCCAGGTATGGTGGTGGGCACCTATAATCCCAGCTACTTGGGAGGCTGAGACAGGAGAATCACTTGAACCCGGGAGGCAGATGTTGCAGTGAGCTGAGATTGTGCCACTGCACTCCAGCCTGGGCAACAAGAGCAAAACTATATCTCAAAAAAAAAAGTGCCCAGTAACCAGAGAACCTGGCACTGGCCCAGATTTTGCCTCTGACCTGCTCTATGTTCTTAGGTGAGTTCTTTCTCCTCCAGGCCTCAGTCTCTTTGTCTATGAAATGAGGGACCTGGACTGGATGACATGAAGATCCCTTCCATTAAGGCCCAGCTTTGTATGATTCTGTAGCAAGAGAAAAATACCATGACTTCCATGTGACCTCTGCTGTCCTCCTGTCACCCTTCCGACCCCTCTCACCTGTCTCTGCAGGGCTCCCAGAGACCAGGACGGACACAGCCATGTCAGAGCTGGTGCCTGAGCCCAGGCCTAAGCCAGCGGTGCCTATGAAGCCCATGAGCATCAACTCCAACCTGCTGGGCTACATTGGCATCGACACCATCATTGAGCAGATGCGGAAGAAGACCATGAAGACCGGGTTCGACTTCAACATCATGGTTGTTGGTATGGAAAACCTAGCCAGGCCTAGGTTTTCACATTTTAATGATACAAAAAGGATAAATAGAATTAATAGAATTACTTTGTATCCTGATACTGCCTCACAGTGAATATTACACATTCACATTTGTTAGCCAAATTCATCTTTATATCAGCCCTGTGGATCCTGGAGCAGAACTATCTTTATCCTCAGTCGAAATGGTCCCAGAGAGATGAATCGTCTTCTAATGAAATATGTGCAGAGCAACATAACTAATAAATGCAAGACCAGGAAATTTAACCCAGAGAATGTCTTGGCTCTATATCCACTCTTCATTCTACAAAACAAAAACAAAGTGAAAACCTAAGCAAAAAATTGAATCACACCAAAACAGAAAACCATGACACTACACATAGGCAGAGGTTGTCTTCTTTCCCAGTGGTCCTCAGGCTCTGGGAAGGAGAGAATATGGAATCCAGTTGATGTTTCCCCAAGGCTCTCTGCAGTAAGCAGGAAGTCATTCCCACCTGCCTGCCCTCCCCACTCACCCTGGCCATCCCCCGGTGAGTGGTCAGACAAGGTGTTGGCCTGGATGGTGGCTCTAGAATTCTGTAAGCTTATGGGGAGGTATTAGGCTCAGAAGGTGGATGCAGAGTCTCCCTATCTTCTTCTCTTTCTGCTTTGCTGTAGGCCAGAGTGGACTGGGCAAATCAACACTGGTCAACACGCTCTTCAAATCCCAAGTGAGCCGCAAGGCCTCCAGCTGGAACCGGGAGGAGAAGATCCCCAAGACGGTGGAGATCAAAGCTATCGGGCATGGTGAGGACCAGGCAGGGACCCCTATGGGCTTTGTTCAGTGAGTGCCTCTGCTGCAAAGGGGAAAGAATGGGGTTTATTGAGGAGTAGGACCAATGAAAGGCAACCTTAAGAAGAATAGACTTGAGCATTCACTCTGAAGTAAACTCCTTAGACTGCTGGTTCAGGGAAGAGAGAGCAGGGAGCTAGAATGGAAGGAGGTGGGCCTTGAGCTGGATGATAAAGCCCAGTAGAATTTAGACAGGTAGAAAGAGGTGAGAGGGTGGGTGCAGTGGCTCATGCCTGTGAGCCAGCACTTCAGGAGGCCAAAGTAGGAGGATTGCTTGAGGCAGGGAGTTTGAGGCCATTTTGGTCAACACAGTGAAACCCTGTCTCTTTTATTTTTTTATTTATTTTGAGGTGGAGTCTCGCTCTGTCGCCCAGGCTGGAGTACAGTGGTGTGTTCTTGGCTTACTGCAACTTCTGCCTCCCAGGTTCAAGTGATTCTTCTGCCTCAGCCTCCCGAGTAACTGGGACTACAGGCATGCACCACCATGCCCAGCTAATTTTGTTTTTTTACTAGAGATGGAGTTTCACCATATAGGCCAGACTGGTCTCGAACTCCTGACCTTGTGATCGCCCACCTCAGCCTCCCAAAGTGCTGGGATTACAGGCATGAGCCACCGTGCCAGGCCGAAACTCTGTCTCGTAAAAAAGAAATAGCTGGGTATGATGGTGCACACCTGTAGTCCTAGCTATTGCGGAGGCTGAAAGGTGGGGATTGCTTGAGGCTGGGAGTTTGAGGCTACAGTGAGCTGCGATTATACCACTGCAGAGAGAGGGTATTCCAGATTCCAGGTACAGGGAACAACATGAGCCATGATATTGAGATAGAAAAGGCCCTAAATTTGATTTTTCCAATAACTGATCCTGAAGAACAGGGCTGGGTCTCCCTAGCTAGTAGGCTGCCAGGTACCAAGGGTCAGCTGTAGGAATGACCTCTCTGGTACATTTTCTTTTCACCCCCAGTGATAGAGGAAGGTGGTGTCAAAATGAAGCTGACCGTCATCGATACCCCAGGCTTTGGAGACCAAATCAACAATGAAAACTGGTATCTGTCTGCCCCTGAGATCTTTGCCCTAAAGACTGCTGGGAAGATACTATGGTGCAGATTCATTCACGTTGAGAACTATCTGCACCCTCCATGCTCTGCAGTTCCTGGGGAGCTCCGCCCCTGCTAACTAACCATTTAGGAAAGCCATCCATATGGGGGCTGAGGGGAAATCCAGCAGCAGATATCCTAGGCCCACCAGGGAATGAGATGGATGGAAGGAGATTGCTACTGGACCATGCCTACGCTGAGCCCTAGTCTTGTTCTTCTGACACATCCGTCTACTTTTTCCCACCCTCAGCTGGGAGCCCATTGAGAAGTACATCAATGAGCAGTATGAGAAGTTCCTGAAGGAGGAGGTGAATATCGCCAGGAAGAAACGCATCCCTGACACTCGTGTCCACTGCTGCCTTTACTTCATCTCCCCCACAGGACACTCGTATGTACCAACCCCACCCCTATTGCCAGGCCTGGTCTGGTTTGCATCATCTGTGCCCATTCTGGATTGGATGATCCATACCTTGACTCAGCTAGGGAGGGCCAGGTGGGCTGGAATATTGTTGTGGCCTGTGACCTTGGGGTTCCTCAGACTTTCCATGAGGAGGTCTGACTTTCTTGCTAGGAGAAGCGCACGCACACGCGCGCGCGCGCACACACACACACACACACACACACACGCTGTCCAACATCAGCCATCAGCCACCAATATCTGCCCACTGGTGTCCCAGCAGCAAGGCACGACTGTACCAGAGAGAGGAGTTGGTATATGTGAGAAGAAGGCACATCATTTATTCACCAAATACCTGCTTTGGACTGGAGTTGGGGGGAGCAGCAAGAAGGGTGAAATAGGGCACGGCAGGGCTCCTGGATTGGGGCTGGTGTTTCCAGGGGTATGGGACCCAGCTGTAGGCATTTGGAAGGTGCCAGCCTGGAGTGAGGCATTGTGTGTCCAGAGATAAAGGCCAACCGTTGTCATGAAGTACTGTCTGATAGTCAGAATAAGACACACACAAGTGTGCTGAGAACTCTGATTGTAAGTGACAGGTAGGCCCCATGAAGGAAGTGCTGCAAACAGGCAGAGAATGAACATCGCAGGGGGTAAGCCAGCAACCTTCCTACAGAGATGGGGGGAGGGGGCCTCATAACATTACTCAGCCCAGGGTTAAGTTCTTCAGAGGATGGCACAAGCAAGGTAGGCCCCAAATTTTGTAGGAAGCAGGCAGTGGTGGTGGGGGTAGGAGAGAGATGAAACAAGACTTCTGGACCAGGCCCAGGAACTCAACGGGAGGCTGGCTTTATCCCTCCTGAGGCTTCAACCCTCGGTCAGAATGAACCATCACATAGCCTGACTTAATGAGTCCCCCAGATTGCAAAATGAGCCAAGTTGGGGTCTCAGAGCCTGAGGCAGGATGGGGGCATAGCCTGTCAGACTGTAGGGAGGGCAAGGGCCCCAACTTGACCATTCAGGACTAACTCTGGGGGCTGGGAGGAGACCCATCAAGAAGTACTGTCCGACAGGCAGAACAAGACGTACACACTGGGTGCGGCGGCTCTTGCCTGTAATCCCAGCACTTTGAGAAGCCAAGGCAGAAAGATCGCTTGAGCCCAGGAGTTCAAGCCTAGCCTAGGCAACGTGGCAAGACTGTCTCTACAAAAATTAAAAAATTAGCCAGACATGGTGGTGTGTGCCTGTAGTCTGAGCTCCTCTGGAGGCTGAGGTGGGAGGATCGCTTGAGTCCTGGAGGTTGAGACAGCAGTGAGCCAATGATCATACCACGGCACTCCAGCCTGGGTGACAAAGCAAGACTGTGTCTCAAAAGAAAACACACACACACACACACACGCACACATGCACAGACAAATGTCATTTTGTTGTTGTTTTTTTTGAGACAAAAAAGGAAAAAAGACACACATGTGCAAGGACATATGAGTAGAGACAACAGTCCACAGATACTCCCAGGAGAAAGAAATCCCTACGTCAGAAAAGATGTCATGAAGGGGTGGTTTGAGGGGCTTAAAGAGAGGCAGGGTCTGCATGGGAACTGGAGAAGAAAAAGGCAGGTGCTGAGGCGGCTCTGCAGACAGCAAGGCAGTGGGGCTGTATGGGAGAGCAGAGAGCAGCCTCTTGGCCTCAGCCAGATGCCCAGCCCAGTCCTCTTCTCCCGAGGGTGCCCTGGAGTGGTGGTGGTGGGCGAGTTGGGGAGGACAAGGTGGTTCTGACAATCCTGCTTTTTCTGGGCCCAAGCTTGCGACCTCTGGATCTTGAATTCATGAAACACCTCAGCAAGGTTGTGAACATCATTCCTGTCATTGCTAAGGCTGACACCATGACCCTGGAGGAGAAGTCTGAATTCAAGCAAAGGGTGAGAAGGCCCCCTGTCTTCTTTTCCTGCCCCCATCCCTTCCTTTCTCTCTTCTGGGTTCAGTCCACCTCCTAGCCCTCATCATTCTGCCTTCACCCTTACTGTCAACCCTCCCCGTTCTCTACCCCAGCCCCCACTTAACCATTCAAGAGGCTGAGGTTGGTGGTATCCGGGGACTTTGTTGAAGAATAGATGGTGCAGCTCTGAGTGCCTTCCTCCTGCCCTCCAAACGTACCTGTGAAGACCACTGAATGCATGTATCACTGTGAACATGAGAAATCACTCCTCAAGTGTTACCCTACTTGAAGGACTAGACTAATTAGTGAGTCAACTGGCCACTAGTCCTCACTGGCATCTTCTATAAGCTCAGCCCTGTGCTGGATATATGAGGTTGAGGAGGTGGGATTTGAGAGAAATGAAAAGACAATTGCTATCTTTAACAAATTTACAACCTGCTGGGCTCGGTGGCTCACACATGTAATCCCAGCACTTTGGGAGGCTGAGGCGGGTGGATCACCTGAGGTCAGGAATTCGAGACCAGCCTGGCCAACATGGTGAAACTCCATCTCTACTAAAACACAAAAAATTAGCTGGGTGTGGTGGTGGGCGCCTGTAATTTCAGCTACTTGGGATGCCGAGGCAGGAGAATTGCTGGAACCCAGGAGGTGGAAGTTGTGGTGCGATCTCAGTGGGCTGAGATCGCACCACTGCACTCCAGCCTGGGGGATAGAGGGAGACTCCATCTCAAAAAACAAACAAAAAAAAAAGAAACTTACAATCAAATAGAACAACGAAATGAAGAGGTCCTGGATGGTTTCCTGGAGAAGGCAAGACTTAAGTCAACCTTGAAAGAGGGCAAACAGAGTCTTGGAGTAGGGGGAGCCTCACCTTTCTTCCTTGCAATCAGGAATATAACATGCAGGGGTCTGAGCACTCCCCAGTGGGCTCAGCTGGGCTGCTTGTGCAAATCCCAGTCTTGTGGACTCGAGATGAGCAAGCTGGTTGCGAGGCACCTGGGACCTGAAGTTGCACCTCCTTGGCCTCTTCCTCCTCTCAGGCTAAGCTGTAATTGTGTCACTGGTGCTTGCATTTATTCACAATCTTACTGCTGCTCAGGGTCTCAGAGTTCAGAGATGACCGGATTATCCAAGGCTGGATTCGGCTCTCTGACCTCAGCTCACACACAGAGGTGCACACACCCCTGTTTTCCATTATCCTGACACTTGGCTACCTTGCTTCTTCTCCCTGCCTCCAGGTTCGCAAGGAGCTTGAAGTAAATGGCATTGAATTCTACCCACAGAAGGAATTTGATGAGGATTTGGAGGATAAGACGGAGAATGACAAAATCAGGGTGGGTGCCTGAGGCACTGCTCCTCCACCGATGCCCCCTTCGACCTCTGGGATGTGTATCATGCGCATCCTCTGTCTTTTCCCTTTCTGTACTCTCCCCCACCTTGCTTGACACAGACCAGAAGTGACATGCGGGGTGGGGGAGGACTCTGGCCCTGGACTGTGAACCCACAGAAGGGCTCTCTGTACCCAGAAAGCCTTCCATCCCCAGACCGCACAAAAGCCCCCTTTTCCCTCACAAGGTCTGGCAGAAACAGTTTGTGGGGTGATGGGAGGGGCAGTGGGCAGGAAGAGCGTCGTGCTGGGGTTCAGGAGAATCTATGCTTAGACCCTGCCTCAGTTTCTTCTCTATATAATGCAGGGGTTAGACTAAGTGAGTGGCTTATAGGCTTTTTTCCCCCAAAAAAGAACTTAAAAAAAAAAATTGGATGGGTGTGGTGGCTCATGCCAGTAATCCCAGTACTTTGGGAGGCTTAGGTGGGAGAATCGCTTGAGCCCAGGAGTTCAAGACCAGCCTGGGCAACATGGCAAAAACTTGACTCTACAAAAACTTCAAAAATTAGCCAGTTGTGATGGCAGGTGCCTGTAGTCCCAGCTATTCAGGAGGCTGAGGTGGGAGGATCGCAGGAGCCCCAGAGGTTGAGGGTGTAGTGAGCCATGATCATGCCACTGCACTCCAGCCTGGGTGACAGAGCAAGACCTTATCTCTTTTTTTTTTTTGAGACTGAGTCTGGCTCTGTCACCCAGGCTGAAGTGCAGTGGTGTGATCTCAGCTCACTTCAACCTCCGCCTCACAGGTTCAAGCCATTCTCCTGCCTCAACCTCCCTAGTAGCTGGGATTACAGGTGCATGCCACTGTGCTAATTTTTGTATTTTTTTAGTAGAGACAGGGCTTCACCATGTTGGCCAGGCTACTCTCGAACTCCTGACTTTGTGATCTGCCTGCCTTGGCTCCCAAAGTGCTGGGATTACAGGTGTGAGCCACCACACCCAGCTGAGCAAGACTCTATCTTTTTTTTTTTTTTTTTTGAGACGGAGTTTCACTCTTGTTACCCAGGCTGGAGTGCAATGGCACGATCTCGGCTCGCCGCAACCTCCGCCTCCTGGGTTCAGGCAATTCTCCTGCCTCAGCCTCCTGAGTAGCTGGGATTACAGGCACGCACCACAATGCCCAGCTCATTTTTTGTATTTTTAGTAGAGACAGGGTTTCACCATGTTGACCAGGATGGTCTCGATCTCTTGACCTCGTGATCCACCCTCCTCGGCCTCCCAAAGTGCTGGGATTACAGGCTTGAGCCATCGCGCCCGGCCTGCAAGACTCTATCTTTAAAAAAAAAAGAAAGAATAAAGATCAGAATTCCAATATATAAAACATAAAATCAGAGCTGCTTTGGCTAAGTGACAGGCACAGAGCCCTGCCTCCTCAGCAGCCTGTAGGGTACCTGCTGGAAACCTTAATGCTCCATGAACCTGGCTTGGAATCTATCATTCTGCATAATTTCCAAGGTCCCTCTCAATTCTAAATTCCTACAGTTCTGTGATTCTACATCAGAAGCTGGGAACTAGGCTGGTCTTTGCTGTCTCCCCTGAGATACATTATTCACTGTTTTGGTCTTGAGTCTCCTCCTCCATTGAGTGGATAAACTAGTAGAAGTTCCTTATCCAAAGTAGCTGAGACCAGTAGTTGGTCAATTAACTGAAAAAGTTCTCTGAGGCGAGGAAATCATTTTCTAAAATGATGTTGACAAGTCTTTTTTTTTTTTTTTTTTTTGAGACAGAGTTTCGCTCTTGCTGCCCAGGCTGGAGTACAATAATGCGATCTCAGCTCACTGTAGCCTCCGCCTCCTGGGTTCAAGTGATTCTCCTGCCTCAGCCTCCCAAGTAGCTGGGATTACAAGCACATACCACCACACTCAGCTAATTTTTTTTTTTTTTTTTTTTTTTTTTTTTTTTTAGTAGAGATGGGTTTCTCCATATTGGTCAGTCTGGTCTCCAACTTCTGACCTCAGGTGATCAGCCTTCCTTGGCCTCCCAAAGTGTTGGGATTACAGGCGTGAGCCACTGTACCTGGTCACAAATCTTAAATGTTTAAAAATATTTTAAGAAGTTACTAAGTTAAAATAACTTAAAACATATATAAGCAGGACGGTGGGCATGGAACTCAGAATCCGCCAAGGTATGTATAATAAGTCACCTGCCCAAAGCAAAACAAAACATATTCATCACATTCATTAAACATTCTTTTCCTGAAGTGCCAAGGCCTCTTCTTTGAGGATAAGCCCACCTTTAATGCCAAAGCAACTCACCTTTATCAAGTCTTTCTGAAACATTCAGCTTAAATTTCAGAGAAGCAACTCTCTTTAGGCATACGGCTTCAGTTTATCTAATCACAATAGCAAGTACACATCAGGCAAATAGATTTGGGAACAAACAGCTGGCTCTTGATGAACAAACAACCCACCTGGTGGAGCAGGGCTGGCCTTTGTACACCAGGAAGTAGCCTAGAGCTCTGAGATTCCGAGGGCCTGGGCATCTGTAGTAGTAGGTTTCACAGAGACGGTGTGAAACGTCAGTGAGTCTGCTTTGGTGGACTTGTTTAAGAGGCATTCTGTCTGTCCTTGCTAGATCAGAGTTGTTCAAAATCAATAAGCGTATGGTAAAGCACTATGAAAAGTATGAAGTGGCTGGCTGCATTGGCTCATGCCTATAATCCTAGCACTTTGGGAGGCTGAGGCAGGTAGATCACCTGAGGTCAGGAGTTTGAGACCAGCCTGACCAACATGGTGAAACCCCATCTCTACTAAAAATATGAAAATTATCTGAGCACAGTGGTGGGTGCCTGTAATCCCAGCTACTTGAGAGGCTGAGGCAGGAGAATTGCATGAACCCAGGAGGTGGAGGTTGCAGGGAGGTGGAGGTTGCAGTGAGCTAAGAACTCCAGCCTGGTTGACAAGAGTGGAAACTCCATTTAAAAATAAAAGCCAGGCACAGTGGGTCACACCTGTAATCCCAGCACTTTGGGAGGCTGAGGCAGGTGGATCAACTGAGGTCAGGAGTTCCAGACCAGCCTGACCAACATGGCGAAACCCTGTCTCTACTTTGTAAAAATATACTCTCTGTTTTATAAAAATATAAAAATTAGTAGGGTGTGGTGGTGCATGCCTATAGTCCCAGCTACTTGGGAGGCTGAGGCAGGAGAATCACGTGAGGCAGAGGTTGCAGCCAGCTGAAATTGTCCCACTGTACACCAGCCTAGGCAACAAGAGCAAAACTCCATCTCAAAAAAAAAAAAAAAAAAAAAAAAATGGATGCAGCACTCTGCAGCTAAAGGAGAGCTGATTCCCGAGGTTAACCAGCCGGGTAGTAGTACAATCGGGATTCAACCCAGGGCTCCTGATTCTGAGTGTGGTGCTCTTTTCAATCGGCTGAGCCTTGCCCTTGCCATCAGCGGTATCTCTGAATGAGCATCAGAAGAGTGTGGTTCAAGGCCACAGGACCATATGTCGTCCTGCTCCTGGATGCCCAGATTGTTGGAGAATGATGGTGCACATTGTCTGGTTTGTGTTTCTGTCCCGTACAGCAGGAGAGCATGCCGTTTGCTGTGGTGGGAAGTGACAAGGAGTACCAAGTGAATGGCAAGAGGGTCCTTGGCCGAAAAACTCCATGGGGGATCATCGAAGGTAATTCATTGCATCTTCTTGAAGAACTCGTTGCTGATCAGTTATCCAGTCACCATTTATTAAGCATCTATAGATCAAGGCACTGTCTCAGAACATATGAAATGAATGCCAGCCAGATTCTGCCCGGCAGGAATAACGAGAGACCAATGTAGCACCTGACTGGGTGCACTGACTTGGTGCATCAAAGGAGTTCAGAACATGGAGAGTTTAGTAAGACCTGGAAAACCTGGAGAAAGTTTTCATAGGAAGGAAGATGTGATCTGACAAACTGCTGGAGGGTTGTTCAGGTGTTGCCATTTCCATTTTATTATGAATGGATGTGACCTTGGGCGGGTGTTGATGGCTCTAAAAGTGGTCAAGGAATCACTTTAATGATTTCGTTCAATATGATAACCCTATGAAGGAAGGAGGGCGCATGCTCCTGTTCTCAGAATATAAGGCACCAAGCACCAGAGCTCAGGTTAAAAGCCTTGCCCAAAGTCACATAACTTGTTAGTGGCGAAACTTGATTTCAGACTCAGATTTTTTTTTTTTTGAGACGGAGTCTCACTCTGTCGCCCAGGCTGGAGTGCAGTGGCACAATCTCGGCTCACAGCAACCTCTGCCTCCCGGGTTCAAGTGATTCTCCCTGCCTCAGCCTCCTGAGTAGCTGGGACCACAGGCGCACACTATGCTCAGCTAATAAATATTTTTGTAGAGACGGAGTTTTGACATGTTGGTCAGGCTGGTCTGAACTCCTGACCTCAGGTGATCTGCCTGCCTCAGCCTCCCAAAGTGCTGGGATTACAGGCATGAGCCACTGCACCTGGCAATTTTATTTTTATTTTTATTTTTAATATAGGTAGGGTCTCACTATATTACCCAGACTGATCTTGAACTCCTGGGTTCAAGTAATCCTCCCACCTTGGCCTCCCAAAGTGCTGGGATTATAGGCATGAGCTCTCGTGCCCAGCCCCATGTCTTTATCGTCATTCTGTTCCAACCTGCTTGGCCAGTGATTTGCAGATACTAGGTATTCAATATATGTTGAATTGGATTTATTATGTAGTGCATGACCTTTTTAAAATGGCTCAATTGGGCCAGGCACAGTGGCTCATGCCGGTAATCCCAGCACTTTGGGAAGCTGAGGAGGGTGGATCACCTGAGGTTGGGAGTTTGAGACCAGCCTGACCAACATGGAGAAACCCTGTCTCTATTAAAATAAAAATACAAAATTAGCCGGCTATGGTGGCACATTGCCTGTACTCTCAGCTACTCAGGAGGCTGAGGCAGGAGAATTGCTTGAACCTGGGAGGCAGAGGTTGCAATGAACCAAGATCATGCCATTGCACTCCAGCCTGCGCAACAAGAGTGAGACTCCATCTCAAAATAAAATAAAAATAATAAAATAAAATGGCTCAATTGTCATTTTCTCTGTGTTACTTCCAATTGGATTATAAGCTTCTTAAGAATGTGAAATGTATCTTAGGCCTTGGCCAGTTTCTTAGACTCCGTGTTAGTTTTCTCTTCTGTAAAATGGTAAAAATAATAGTCCCTCTTAGGTGTTGTTCCACAGCATCTAGAAGAGTGTTGTACCCATTGTAGCTGCTTAATAAACATTTGATCAATGAATCAAATCCAGTGCACCCAAGTGAGCAAACCTCTGGAAGGGTTACAGAAGAACCCATCCCATAGCTTTCTCCTAAATGCCTCCGTGACCCGAACAGAAGTTCGCCTCCTGGGTGTTGCTGCATTAATGAACTGACTACCTGTTTTGCTTTGTTTTGTTTTGTTCATAGTGGAAAACCTCAACCACTGTGAGTTTGCCCTGCTTCGAGACTTTGTCATCAGGTAAGATGTCTCCCCTCCCCCTGTCCAGATAGCAGGCTGAATTATTTGGGGTCAGGGTCTGTCTGTTCAGATTCACCTCCTGTGTCTCCAGGTCTCTATGACAGAGCTTTCTGCGTCAGTTCCAGCTCCTGTTGCAAACCAGAAGGGGCTGTAGAAGCATCCTTAGCTCCTGGGAGTGGGTCCCAGTCGTTTGGTCCAGTCCCTTGAAGTGATGTACATCACCACCTCCTTTTCCTGCCCCTAATTCATCCTTTTTTTTCTCACCCTGTGTCCTCTAGGACCCACCTCCAGGACCTCAAGGAAGTGACACACAACATCCATTATGAGACTTACAGGGCCAAGCGGCTCAATGACAATGGAGGCCTCCCTCCGGTGAGCGTGGACACAGAGGAAAGCCACGACAGTAACCCATGATGACCCCTTCTCTGTGTCATCATACATACCCACTTCACATACACACATCCCAAATACCACCACCAACCACCTTCTTCCTCTCAACTCTGTCCCACAGGCCTCTCTGGTATTTGTGGAGCATCTTGTCTATGTTGTGTGTGTGTGTGTGTGTGTGTGTGTGTGTCTGTGTGTGTGTGTGTGTGTGAACAAGAGAGCCTGTGTGTGTGCATGCAGGGGTGAGGTATTTTCACTGCCCTCCCTGGAGAGTCCCTTGTAAGTTTGGTTCCTCCATGCCTGTCCATTATCTGTCACCTTTTTCTTGTATCCCAAAACAAAGCCCTGTGCCTCACTCAGGAGATGTGGGGGAGGTTTCATTTAAAAGTATTGGGAGCAGGTGAGCCACAGGCAACTCTTCTCTCAGAACCTGCACACAAACTGGGACTATAGAGATTCTCCAAGGACAGATGGCAGCGGAGCTAGACCTGGGCAGGGGGCAGGGAGTTCAGGACAACCCTCTCTGTAAGTTGGGGGTGGTCTGGGGTTAGGATGGGGCTTCCTGGGAAAAGGAAGGTCACGAGAGGGCAGAGAAGTAGGCCAGAGCTGGGTTCTTACAGAAAGAATCAGTGCCTACGAGTGGAGCTCCACCCTTCAGTCTGTGTTGTGTTCACTGTCCCAAAGCCACCACCTGTCACCAGAGCCTACTGCTGCTGTCCACTCACCTGGCCTCCACTCCCAGGCCAGTGCCTGTCTCTGCTTCCTGCTTTGTCTTCTTTCTCCCTTTCCCTCCTTTCCTCATACATTTCTTTCTCTCCCTCTCTCCTGCCCATCTCTGACATCTTTCACTTCCTTTTAGATGAATCTACTTTAGGTTCATTCCTATATTTAGAATTTATGCCCAGTCTACTTCCAGAAATGACTTTAGGCTACTTTCAAATAAAATCACAAAAGTACAGGACAGGCTGGGTGCGGTGGCTCTCGCCTGTAATCCCAGCACTTTGGGAGACTGAGGCGGGTGGATCACGAGATCAGGAGTTCGAGACCAACCTCACCAACATGCTGAAACCCCATCTCTACTAAAAATACAAAAATTAGCTAGACGTGGTGGTGTGCACCTGTAATCCCAGCTGCTCGGGAGGCCGAAGCAGAGAATTGCTTGAATTCTGGAGGCAGAGGTTGCAGTGAGTCTAGATGGCGCCACTGCACTCCAGCCTGGGCAACAGAGCGAGACTGTCTCAAAAAAAAAAAAAAAAAAAAAAAAGTACAGGACAGTACAAACTGAGATTGCCAGAGAAACTAAGCCAAAGAAAGGAAGAGGAAAGAAAGTTTCTGTAGTCAAACACCCGAACAAGCCTTGAGCTCACAGGCAGCCAACGTGAAGAGGGAAACACAGTGAGTGATGGAGTTCCCAGTGTCCGGTTAAAGGAAGCACACATGCTGGTCAGGCGAGACAACCTTTTATGGGGACATTAAGTTCTATAACTAATTCTAAAGAAGTATCAGAAACAATGTACATTATTTGTCTTAGTGATTTGGCTTCAGAGACAGATTTTTGACCACACCTCCCTTTTCTCCATCAGACTTCTCTCCCTTTTAAGCAGGCTTCTCTGTTGTTCCATTTGCCTCAAACATACTTGACCTCTTTCTTTTCTATTCCCTGTCACTTTTGTGCTGAAGCTAATTACATGTATGTCTTTCTCTGCTTTTCCCTAATTCCCTCTCCTCCTGACTCCTGCAGGCAGTCCCAGTGATACCCATTTTCATACACTTAGGCTTTTCTTGTCTCTCCCTGAAGCCCTGTATTTATTAATGCATATATTTCCCCTGTTTGCTGTACAAGTAAGTTACTCTTTTCCTTTAATCTGTAAGATTGATGAAGTTCGGGGCCGGGGAAACAATTTAGCCTTAGGCAAGGGAAAACACCAAGTGAAACTGTTTACAATAACCTCATACAACCTCCTGTCCTATCTCCTGGTTCAGCTGAGGTTTTTCACTGGTCCTCTATGAATCCCAGCACTTACAATCCCAGTCTTTTATCACTCAGGTGCTAGGAAAAAAACACAGACTTAAGACCCAAGATTCAATGGACCAGGGGAAATGGGGGTGGTGATCAGGTCACAAGTGACCTCAAACCTATGGTCTCGGTCTTTCCTGGAGGCTTATTTGCCAACCCAGCCCTCATCCTCCCCTGCTTACAAAGTTACAGGGTAGGCTCCTGTCAGGATAGAACAGCAGTGCTACAGCCCAGAGGTTACTACATTTCAACAGAACAGGGATCCTTGGCTGCCAGAGAAGCAGTCCTGTATGGAGACCTTGGACCAGCAGGGGAAGATCTAGGGGTATGGGAGGTGGGTGTCGGAGAGGCTGAGTAGGAATGGTGCCTGACACCCCGAACCATGATCTCAGCCTCCATGGAGAAGGTATTTTATATGTTTGCTGCCAGCTGCTGGTCTCCACACCCTCAACAGTTCTCAACCCCCCCTGCAGGGAGAAGGCCTCCTGGGCACTGTCCTTCCACCTGTGCCAGCCACCCCCTGCCCCACTGCTGAATGAAGGCCATTTCAAGCGCTGCTTCTCCCTCCATTCCTCTCAGCTGTTATTGCTGCAGGGCCAAGCCCTTTTTAGTGCTGTGCTTGTCCAGCTCACCACCACAGTCCTTCTCAACCCTCAGTAGGTAGGAGGGGCCAGCTGCCTCTAGGACAGTTGCTTCTTCCACTTATCCAAACCACTCCTCTCCTCCCAGTGGAGTGGGGTTCTGCCAGCACTGCCCTACCGCATCGTCTGTGTCAGCCGGTCCCAGGCCATCTGCAGGGCAAAAGAACTCATCAAGAGCTCCTTCTGTCCTTGCAGACCCACCCCAGCTACTTGTAACCATCTCCAAGGGCAATGGCATTGCTCCCTACTCATTCATCTGCATGAGCTACTCTTGGCTTCCTTAAAGGGTCAAGAAAGCAATTTTTCTGCTTGCCAGATTCATTGAGATCAGGTGTGTGAGCCCCAATGTGGGACGAGGGTGTCTCCTTCATTGCTTAAAATAATTCATGAGGGTGGGTCACCATAGATGTTGAGGAGCAAGGGCTAGGATCACTTTTTAAAAAATCACCACTTGTGGCTGGCCCAGAGTGCAGTTGTACATCCTCCCCATCTCATAACATAGCCACTGAGAAAGAGTGGTTTTCCTCCCATCCAAGTACTAACCAGGCCCGACCCTGCTTAGCTTCCGAGATCAGACGAGATCGGGCGCGTTCAGGGTGATATGGCCGTAGACGGTTTTCCTAAGAAGACATTGCTGGAGTTGACTTTCTTATGTCCAAACAAACAAAAACCAAACACACACACAAACCCCCAGAAACCCACAATATGTACACTCTAAGGAAAAACTAGCGCCCTTCTGTCCATTCAGCAATAAGAGGGATCTCTTCCCACCTACCCTACCTAGTCCTACCCCCACCCCCTTCCTCATTAATGTGAGTAATGAATTAGCCTGGCCACAGGTGGTCACTATAGGCTAATGGAAAATACCCAAGGGAGGGCAAAGCCCCCCATCAGATGCATGAATGTTTTCGAATGTTGACTGCCACTGCCCCACACACTGTGTCTTTATAGAAGTCCCCTTTGCCCACCCCCTCCCTGTCTCCACCTGGACACAACTTGCTCAAAGGCTGGTGACTTGTGGGCCATTCAACTACAACCAAGTCCTGATGGGGCAAGAGGCCCACGCCTAGGGGATGCAAGAACGACCCATTTCTTAAATGTTACCAGTCCCAGCCAATCTTACGGTGACATTACAGTTAAATTTCCCAAATGAAAACAAGCAAACAGACACTCAAACTGGTCCTGTAAATGTTGCTAGATTTATGTGTTGTACAACTAAACACTGCTGTTTGAACAGTAATTGCCTGGCTTGTCTTACTGTCCTCTTTGACCAAATCAGCTGTTATATCATCTCACCCATGTATGGAGGGTGAGACTGTCTTGGTAAGAGGTAGCCGCAGATACAAGAGATGGAAACACTTTGTGAGGTTGGGCCTCAGTCATTATTTTATAACATTTTATATCCAAAATGAGTAATGGATGGGAGGTTGAGGTGGGAGAATGGCTTGAGCATGGGAGGTTGGGTTGCAGTGAGCTGAGATCACAATACTTGCTCCAGCCTGGGCAACAGAGCAAGACCCTGTCTCAAAAAAAAAAAGCAACAACAAAATGAGTGATGGAACTATCACACCTGACCTTGAGGGATGCTGTGCAAAGTACAGCCTGTCTCTAGTGAAAATGATGCTTATTTTCATTCAGTTAACTTCCTGGCTTTCCCCCTCCTTTTTCCTGAATGTGTAAGGACCAAGTCTATGAAAGGAGTGGACCTGGCTGGGTGTGGTGGCTCATGGCTGTAATCTCAGCACTTTGGGAGGCTAAGGCAGGAGCATCGCTTGAGCCCAGGAGTTCAAGACCAGCCTGCAACACAAGACCCTGTCTCAAAAAATATATATATAAAGGGAGTGGACCCATCTTACCTATATACCTGCTTATTTTACAGTGAATAAGGATTAAAACTTAAGCACTAGCTTGTATTTTTTTTTTTTTTTGACATGGAATTACACTCTCTCACTCAGGCTGGAGTGCAATGGCATGGTCTCAGCTCACTGCAACTTCCATCTCCTGGGTTCAAGTGATGCTCCTGCCTCAGCCTCCCAAGTAGCTGAGATTACAGGTGCCTGCTACCACACCCAGCTAATTTTTGAATTTTTAGTAGAGATGGGCTTTCCCCATGTTGGCCAGGCTGTTTCAAACTCCTGAACTTGTGATTCACCCGCCTCGGCCTCCCAAAGGAGCTATGACACCCGGCTTTAGCTTATATCTTTCTTCAACTTAAGCCAACTCTTCCTCTCCTTAAGGTGCACACTTTTTATGGTAGCCAACAAATAACACACTCACCTGTATATTATTTCTCTGAATGTGACAACTGTAGGGAATTATGTTTGACGCCTCAACATTCTGGAGGATGAGTGCAAGGTATGGATGAATAGTGGGAAGTGGTTTGGTAGGGACAGAGTTGGATGAAGACAAAGCAGGAGGCTGTGGGAATGATTGAAGTAAAATGACGAGGGCAGAAACGAGTAGCACCATGACACTGAGATGGAGAGAAATGAAATATGAGTGACAAAGCAGTTTGGTGAACATAAAATGTCACAGCTGAAAGAAACCTAAGAGCTCTTCTGTTCAAAGCCTTCATACAGATATATGCAAACTGGAGAACCCAAGAACATAATAATCTTTGCCCAAGGTTGTTGTAGTAAGGCTTGTATTTTGAAACAAATTTTCTGAACTCAAAATACATTTACAATTGATGGAATGTCAGTTTATTTGGCAACTTTTTTCCCCCTCAGTGGTACATAAAAAACTGTTGCATCTTATGCTTAACAGTGTCTTAAATTTGATGAAAGACAGTAGTCAAGAAGAGGTTTACATCTCTTTGAAGATCCTTTTGATCTCTTTGAAGAACTCTGGTGCTGTGTCTGGAAGACCCTCTGATACTACTGAACTCTATTTTTATTATTTTTATTTTTTTTTAATAGGGTCTTGCTCTGCTGCCCAGCCTGGAGTGCGGTGGTTGGATCACTGCTGGCTGCCATCAGCAGCTTCCATCTCCGGGGCTCAAGCAGTCCTCCCGCCTCAGCCTCCTGAGTAGCTGGGACTACAGGTGTAAGCCACCACACCCAGTTAATTTAAAAAAAAAAAAAAAAAAAAAAAAGGTGGAGATAAGGCTCACCATGTTGCCCAGGCTGGTTTTGAACCCCTGAGTTCAAGTGACCCTCCCGCCTGGGCCTCCCAAAGTCCTGAGATTACAGGCGTGATTCATCACTCCTGGCCTGTATTTGTGAAGTTTAAAGTAAATAAGAACATGTACAACATTTTAGTTCTCAAAGCAATTCTGGTACAACACGTCCCGCTCCATTCCCACGATCACCCTGGAGCAGGCAGGGCAGGCATGAACGATGACCCAGAGACAAAGGCGCTGTCGATCTTGGAACTGGCAGGGACTCCTCAGGGGCCTCCGGGCCTCCGCCGGTGGAAGAAAGTTCTGTGCTCCTAGGGAGGCAAGGAGTTATTCTGGACCCTTTCTGCAAAAGGCAGCGGCTTCCTGGCGGGGCGGGGAGGGCGCAGGGAAATCCTTGCTTGGGTTCTCGGGTCGGCTGCCTTTAATTTTCATTCTTGACAGGACCAACCCCAGTCCAAACCCGCAGGCAGGGGGCTAAGAGGACAGGTGAGGTCGGGAGGCCATTCTCCTATTACCCTTTAGCGCTCCGGGGGCGGAACCAATTCCCAGGCCCCGCCCCTTTCTCGGCTGGTGCCTCCACCCTGATTCCTCCCTGCCCTCCGGCCACTGCCCTAATCACGTGACGCGATCACGCACCTCCTCCTCCTTGCGTCATAATCCCCGCCCTCCCTCTCAGAGCCCCGCCCCACGTCTCGGCGCAGGTCCCCCCCGCCCCTTTCCATCTGCGGGGCGGCGGGAGGAGGCTCGAAGGAAGATGGCGGTGAATCAGAACCATACCCAGAACCGCCGCGGGGCCCTCATCCCTAACGGTGAAAGGTGCCTGAGGGGAAGCACGGCGTGCCGTCGGAGAGCATAGACATGGCGACTCACAAGTTCTCAGCGTGTCAGGGACTTTGCCGCCTTTTTTGGGCGCGGCGCTCTTAGCTCCGCCCCGTTGGGAGTGCGCGTCCCCTCACGGGTATTCCGGCGTCTTAAAATGGTGGAGGCCCATGCCTGTAATCCCAGCACTTTGGGAGGCCGAGGCGGGTGGATCACGAGGTCAAGAGATCGAGACCATCCTTGGTCAACATGGTGAAACCCCGTCTCCACTAAAAATACAAAAAATTAGCTGGGCATGGTGGCGCGTGCCTGTAATCCCAGGTACTCAGGAGGCTGAGGCAGGAGAATTGCCTGAACCCAGGAGGCGGAGGTTGCGGTGAGCCGAGATCGCGCCATTGCACTCCAGCCTGGGTAACAAGAGCGAAACTCCGTCTCAAAAAAAAAAAAAAAAAAAAAAAGATGGTGGAGGCCGGAACGTTTGGCTTCGCGTGTGAGCGGCAGGGGTGGGAATGCCTCTCTTCAGGCGCAGGGCCAAGACGCGTGTCTCCTCACGGTGCGGGGGCTAGACGCGTGTCTCCTCAGGGCGGCGGGCGGGGGCCGGGGGCGGGGCCAGAGATGCGTGTCTCGTTCGAAGAAAGGCTGGATCTGACTGGCGGTTGTGAGCAGCCGGGGACCCTCGGTGGCAGTGCAGCTGCCCGTGAGTCCCCTATGACTTTGTCGGATGAGGGCAGGCACTGGGTGTGCATCGCCCCCTACTCCCAGGAACTAGGTGTTGCGCTTTGGGAAGAGGGATGAGGAGGTGGAGTGCAGATCATTCTGGAAAGATCTCGAACTGTCGTGGGCTTCTCCTTGTCCCTCGGAACATACCGAAGTCCCGTTTTCTCCTTGCTCCAACTAGGGAGATGTCTGCTTTGTAAAACAAAAGATTGAAAAGATTGAGGCCAGGTGTGGTGGTTCATGCCTCTAATCCCAACACTTTGGGAAGCTGAGGTGGACTCGGAGTTCGAGACAAGCCTGGGCAACATAGTGAGACCCCTATCTCTACAAAAAGTAGAAAATCAGTGGGGCATGATGGTGTGCACCTATAATCCCAGCTGCTTGGGAGGCTATGGTAGGAGGATCGCTTGAACCCAGGAGTTTGGGCTGCAGTGAGCCCAGATTGCACCACTGCACTTCAGCCTGGGTGAGAGCCAGATCCTGTTTCAAAAAAAAAAATAAAAAGATGAGACTGAATAGAAGCCTGGGCAGAATAAAGCACTCTTGGTTGCATGAAGCTGTGTGGGGTTTGCACCAGTTGCTTAGCTCCTTGTGGTTGCTGCTGGCCCCTGCTGCTAGCTCCTGAGCACTCTACTGGAGCAGGCCCAGTCGTCAGAGAGGTGCCTCTCTCCACCTTCAAGGCTTACTTGCCCACTATGGCCGCGACTCCACTACATTCCCTTCTTTACCTCTACCCCACATGCCCCTTTCCTTGTTACCCCACAGTCATCCTCAGTCTCCCCGGCTGCGCGGTTCTGAATTGTGCTGCTTTCTGGGCTCTGACTTGCCCTTACTTTCCTTTTTTCCCACCCAGCAGTGGAACTCAAGCTAGATGATGTGCTTGGGGCCAGCACACCCAGGTCGGTTTGAATGCAGTTGTCAGGAAGATTAAAGTAGACATTACCAAATGCTGATGTCCAGATCTTTCTTCTATCCTTCCTTCCACCAGAAAGTTTTCTTGACAGATTTACATGGGCCTTAGAGGTTCTATGTCCTCACTTGCTTCCTACGTACTTCTGCTGCTTTGTTCAATTTTGTGGGAGATGATTGCTCACCACGCTGACAGGGTTGTCCCTGTGGGCACTTACTAGGAGCCATTTGAGCACCTCTCATTCCATGCTGTGAAGCCATTTCTAATTTGGTGTTTGGGTGTCTTCTCCTTGGGCTATGGGTGTGTCTCTGCTTTGCTGCTTGTGTGTTGGAGAAAGGGAAGGAAGCATGTTTTAAACAACAAAACACAAACACTTGTTTTTGTGGTCCTTTGAATTATCTTTATGGGATCCATTTTGTACTCCTGAATACTTAATAGAATTTATTGAACACTTAAATATGCCAAGTACTGTTCTTAGTTCCAAGAGCTTTTTACTGTAGTTTAAACCACTCTGTCGGCCAGGCATGGTGGCTCACACCTGTAATTCCAGCACTTTGGGAGGCCAAGGCTAGTGGATTACATGAGACCAGTTGTTTGAGACCAGCCTGGCCAACATGGTGAAACCCCCGTCTCTACTTAAAATGCAAAAATTAGCTGGACATGTGGTGCACGTCTGTAATCCCAGCAATTCGAGAGGCTGAGGCACAAGAATTACTTGAGCCCGGGAGGCAGAGGGGAGATTGTAGTGAGCTGAGATTGTGACACTACACTTCAGCTTGGGTAATATGGTGAGACTGTCTCAAAACAAAACAAAAAAACTTACTCTGTCTACCATCTATAGTGAAGATCAGTACTGTTTCCCTCATTTCACAGGTAGAAAAACAAAAAAGTCATTTGCTTAAAGTGCATGTGAGAGAGCTTGGATTTGGATTTGATCTTAGGAACTGTGCATTAAGTACCTACTCCAGCTGTTCCTCCAAAAAGAAAAGGACTGTTTCTCTGATTTCTTCTTGCCAAAGAAGGACTTATTAGGACCCTGGTTTCCTGGATAGAAACGACTTTGCAGAACCTGAGATGGTGGTGCACACCTGTAGTCCTACCTATTCGAGAGGCTGAGATGGGAGGATCACTTGAAGCCAGGAGGGAGTTCAAGACCATACTGAGCAAAATAGTGAGACCTCATCTCACATAATAAAATTTAAAAAAGAAAGCAAAAGAGGAACTTAAAAAAAAACAAGTGGGAGAAGATTGATTCATGAGGAGTCCTCCAAAAGATTATGGAAAATATGGATTGTGAAAAAACTGTGCATGGTTTCCATATTTTTTTCCACAAAAATTAACTCATACTAACTTGTTAAAACATGCCTGCGGTGGCTCAAGCCTGTAATCCCAGCACTTTGGGAGGCCAAGGTGGGCGGATCACGAGGTCAAGAGATCAAGACCATCCTGGCCAACATGGGGAAACCCCATCTCTACTAAAAATACAAAAAAATTAGCTGGGCATGGTGACGTGCACCTGTAGTCCCAGCTACTCGGGAGGCTGAGGCAGGAGAATTGCTTGAACCTGGGAGGCGGAGGCTACAGTGAGCCAAGATTGCACCACTGCACTCCAGCCTGGCGCCTGATGGCAGAGCGAGACTCTGTCTCAAAAAAAAAAAAAAAAAAAAATGCCTGAACAGGATTTAGTTTGAGGCACTAAGAAAGATATTAGCCGGGCACGGTGGCTCATGCCTGTAATCTCAGCACTTTGGGAGGCTGAGGTGGGCAGATCAGGAGGATGACCATGCCTTTCTCACTCAGCCAGGCAGTTTATACCCCTGCCTTCACTGTCACTTCTTTTTGCATCATTTCTTTCTTTTCTTTTTCTTTTTTCTTTTTTTTTTTTTTGAGACGGAGTCTCACCCTGTTGCCCAGGCTGGAGTGCAGTGGTGTGATCTTGGCTCACTGCAACCTCTGCCTCCTGGGTTTGAGGAATTCTCCTGCCTCGGCTTCCCGAGTAGCTGGGATTATAGGTGTCCACCACCTTGCCCTGGTAATTTTGTATTTTTAATAGAGATGGGATTTCACCACATTGGCCAGGCCAGTCTTGAACTCCTGGACTCAGGTGATCTGCCCTCAGCCTCCCAAAATGTTGGGATTACAGGTGTGAGCCACCACACCTACTCCATTTTGTATCATTTCTAATTGTCCTTTTTTGTCTGTTTATTTTTATTTTTGTTTGTCTAATTATCAGTCAGAGGTGAAAACTTAGTGCCTCTTCTGTGTGTGTGTGTGTGTGTGTGTGTGTGTTGTTTTTTGTTTTTAGTACAAATTCAGCCCTGGATGTGTATGTGTGTAGCTTTCTCATTTCACAGGAATATGTGTGAGTTTTTCAAAGCCTTTATTCCTTAAAGCATCTCATTGCTCATCCTTTCCTGTATCTTCACAATTTGTCTATTTTTTGCCCCAACTGTCATCCCTTCTTCTAGCTAGCAGCAACTAATGCATTGGCTTGGAAATGTTTTTGACAAATGCCCTCCAGTAGCCTCATCAGCCCCAGGAAAAATACAAATTAAGCATGTGCCCTTTGAGCCAGTCCTTCAAGAAGCCACCAGACAAGTCAAAACAAACTACAATTTTTTTCTTTTTACGAGACAGAGTCTCACTCTGTTGCCCAGGCTGGAGTGCAGTGGCGTGATCTCGGCTCACTGAAATCTCCGACTCCCTGGTTCAAGCAATTCTCATGCCTCAGCCTCCTGTGTAGCTGTGATTACAGGCACATGCCACCACACCCAGCTAATTTTTTTTTTTTTTTTTTTTTTTTTTTTGAGACGGAGTTTCGCTCTCGTTACCCAGGCTGGAGTGCAATGGCACGATCTCGGCTCACCGCAACCTCCGCCTCCTGGGTTCAGGCAATTCCCCTGCCTCAGCCTCCTGAGTAGCTGGGATTACAGGCACGCACCACCATGCCCAGCTGATTTTTTGTATTTTTAGTAGAGACGGGGTTTCACGATGTTGACCAGGATGGTCTCGATCTCTTGACCTCGTGATCCACCCGCCTCGGCCTCCCAAAGTGCTGGGATTACAGGCTTGAGCCACCGCGCCCGGCCCCCAGCTAATTTTTGTATTTTTAGTAGAGATGGAGTTTCACCATGTTGGCCAGGATGGTCTTGATCTCCTGACCTCGTGATCCTCTGCCTCAGCCTCCCAAAGTGCTGAGATTACAGGCATGAGCCACAAACTACAATTTTTTAGAATAGGTATGTTCCGCTCCCTCTAGTACTTGGTATCTATCGTGGGAATATAGATTTTGTCTTCAAGCTTCTGCCAGACTAGTAGTGGGGATGATACCAGGGTAGGTTAAAAAGCCATAAAGCTTACTTACCACATTCGGCTTTTTAAAAAAATGCACTGTTAGAAAAGAAATTTTAAAAAAAGCAAAATAAAAAAATAAATTGTTTAAGCATTCTCCTAGTTACTATAACCTTTTGATTAGATTCTAGAGTTCTGAAAAAGTTGATTCTGACAGGTTTTCTTTTGCTTTATTTATTGCTTT